ATGGTTCATCTTCACCTGGTAATGGAGCATGTTTGACTAAGCCCATTTTTCCATCTTTTACAGATCCTTTACCTTAAAAGAATAAGTAATATTTATAGCTAAGAATCTATAAGTAATAAAATTTTAACCTCGAATGATAATTTTCGCATTAGTCTAAATATATCAAAAAATAGTTTATACAAAGAAATCAGCAAATGAACATACTTCTTTTTCTAACATTTTAAGTGTATTACCACGTGGTCCAATGATTAAACCAACAAAATTTACATCAGGATGATCTTCTTGTGGAATCATCACTTTATCCGTATATTTCAATTGTTGAGGCCTAAATAAATCTAATGTTAATAAAACAAAAATATTTCATATAGAACAAATATAACAGAATTCCAAGAATAATTCCCATTGACTTTTCAGACATAGTAATTTATCAATTAAATGACACTCACTTATAATCTCCTGGAGGTTTATAATCTGGATTCAGTGCAATTAATTCTGTAATAAATTGATGGCGTTGATCTTCAATTTTACGTCTTGTACGAACTTCACGAGTATTTTGTCTTTTTCCTTGTTGATCATAAATTGGTTCAGGTGATGGAGATCTAAAATAATTAATAAATATTTTTTTTTTTGTTTTCTATACATGAGAAAATAGCGCACTCTACTGTTTAGAATGCAGTACTAGAATATAGATTAAAAAAAAAGAGAAAGATTAGTTTTTTACTTGCGAGCACAACGATAGGATAAAGATTTATACTAAATATAAATATATATGTTTTTTGCTCGATTTTATTTTCTCACCTTTCACTCGATTCAAGTTTGATATATGTTCAACGTCACATATACACAGGATGATAATATTAGAAAAGGAAGACCATTTTATTATTAGAGAAAAATTAACAATGAAATATAGGATACATTTCTGTGTAGATCTTGTATATTAGAAGATTATTTGTAGCACTAAATATAAAGCAAACAAAAAATAGAATTTTTTGTTTTATTATATGTTTTACCTAATGCAAAAAAAAATATTCAAAAGAAAAATCCATAAGGGAAAAGAGAAAGAAGGGAGAGCCTTATGATAAATTAAATGAATATGTAACAAATTTAACCTGTTTCCAGGATTAGATGAAATATGTAAATCATTCATTTTTAGACGACGTGTTAATTCTTCAATTTGTAATTGTACTGAAAGAAAAAAACAACAATATAACATTATTTACATAAATTAAAATAAAAGAATAATTTACAAATATAGATTTTTTGTTGTTCTTCTGTCATATTCGTGGTTGAAATTGTTGTTGGCATATTAGGCAAGACAACTTTTACAGTTTCATCACCAATCCAACGTCTTTTACGTTGTTTTTTAATTTGTGTATTAGAACTTATTGAATCAGCTAAAAGAAAAAATTTTACGAACATTCTAAAATCGAATGAAGATTTTTACCTGGTGATTCATTTCCCGTTGGTGTTTTTATTGCTATCTCTTCTTCTTGTGATTCCATTTTAGCAGGAAAAGATGATGGTAACATCATAGAAGGTAATTGTGATTTGTTAAGAGAATTATTCTCATTGTCATTAGTTATTTCTTCTTTTTTATTTGAAACATTCGATGATAATGATGAATCTCTATCATTTGATTTTTGTGATTGTTTATGAGTTTTTTTGTAACTTGTTGAAGGACTTCGACTACGTGAACGAGGACTACGAGATGGCATACTAAATGACATAACAATAAGGAATAGATTAATCTATAAATATAGGAGATGTATTATGAAATTAATAAAATTTCTAAAAAACAAAACATCAACTTCTAGCATTCATTTTTTTTTTTGGCTGATATCCTCTTCTCTTAAAATATAATAGATTGGACAAACTCGTTATTGTGATGTCGCTAAAGTGCAGTGCAACATTTTCTCACAAAGGATCTTAAAAATAGTTGTTTGTTAAAGAAAAATCAATAAGAATTTTGTAAAATTTAAAATAAAAATATATCGATTGTTTTCTAATGAGATTATTCTTGATTTATGAGATAGTGATTCATCAAAAAATACACATTGATATACATAATCCTTTTTTTATTAGCTATTTTTTTTCTGATCGAATATTCACATATGTTTTTCCTATTTATTATTTCCAATTAGTTTTGGTTGTAATTCAACTTTTTTGTTTTAAAAAAAATTACGGAATAAAAGAAATTTGTGGCGTCGTCTACAAAAGTATCTTGAATCTTTTTTTTGTGAAAGATATAAATAGAAAAAACAAGTGGATATTATTCTATCAAAAATTTATCGAATAGAATTTCTATGAATGTCAAAAAAAACCACTTTAGAATCATCTGACTACGGATAATCTTATTTAATAACGAATTGTATTCAGCAAAATGCATATTAACTACACACACTGCTTCAATTCAATGGTACTTAAGGAACAAACAAGTAAATTATTTTTTCTTTGAAATGACAAAGAATACGTTAGAAATGTTGAATGAAATTTTTTAAGAAAGTTTCTGATCGTGTAAATCTGATAATATTATTTGTGATGACGAGGACAATCGTATAAATCTCGCTAAGCAGATGTTGGTCGATATGCTAGATGATAAAACAGTTTTGCTGAATTGTTATTGACACATATATTCATCAGTTATGTAATTCAGTAAAAGAAATTTAATTCATTATGAATGTCTCACAATTGATTTCACGATCTAGAAAAAGTTCGATTAATTCTTTGTTTGATATTCGAGAACTCTTCTTCATTGCCTATATGTTTGTTGTATTTGAATTTTAAAACGATCAACCATCTAAGAACTGCATTTTTCGTAATGAATAATTCTTCATTTTAATACATGAAGACTTTTTGTAAACATAATTTTTACAGTACGATGCTGTCATCATATTTTTTTAATGTTTTGTTTTAATCAACTTAACACAAAAAGAAAAGAAAAATATCTAGGGCAACAACTATGAATAATAAACCAGAGCATATTTCTACTTCGCAAAATATGACAAAACAAATTATTATCACTTAACTTTCTAGTTAAGACAATATAGGGTTGTGAAATATATATGATATTTATGATCGTCTGTTGATAAAAATTGTATTACTAATAAGTAAGATAGAGAGAGTAACTAAATGTCGAAAATTGAAAATGTCAAAAAGTATAAGTCCTTGTGAATCCTTGGTTAAAAAAAAACTTTTTCTCAGTTTTGATCAATAGAATGTAATATGTCATGCATGCATGCATACAGTACAACAGTGAGAATGAAGGTGAAATCTATGATTAAAAAGGATTTGCATTTTCGGCATTCTGCTTTCGACATTTAACCATTAAACCGTTAGATATAACAATAATTATATACATTTGATTGGAATTTATGTCTTCTTTTGCAATATTAATATGAATTTCATCGAGATATACACGAGTGGCAATGTAAATGCATCAAGTTTATTTTTCCATATTGCAGTAATGCCATTCCTAGTTAATATCGTCTAAAAGAATGTCTTAAAAGATTCTTGAAAAAATTTCTAAGAAATTAAGACAGGAATTTTTTGAAATTCTACGATAAGAATTATGATTACTGTAAACAGTTTATATACAATGATATTTATCATCGTATTTAAATGTACTCCATATCAAAAAGGTGAGGAGTGACTTTCTTTTTCTCGTTCCCGTCGTAAATAGAAATATGTAATTGATTTGTTTTTTTTTTCGAATAATATTTATTGTTGTAGAGTTGTTCTTGTGATTAATCTAAATAAAATGGAACAGATTTTTATTTTGTAAAGTAATACTTATCATCTCTAAATCATTGTTGAAATCAATCGTAATCGAAACAATAGAATCGATTTTCTTGAGTTGATACTCACCATTGATATTGCTGTTAAGATTAAGTTAGGCACTCTCTAATATGTTTCTCACATAGTCTTCGGAGGTTTAGTTAAAGATTTCTCAGTGATTCATTCAGAAGTCTCTAGGATGATTGTGAAAATGAGAACCAGTTGACGATATTGATTCGTTCATTTTCCATTATTAATTACATTGAAATCGATCAACTCTTTTTGTATTCATAAACATTGAAAGCACACATATTTTATTAGAGATACAAAAAATGCCACAAAAAAGAAACTGATTATATTTTTTTTTTGTAATTCTAATTTTTATTTCTTTTCGACTGTGGTCTACTCAAGAATGTTTTACTTATTTACGTTTTAAATCGATTATTGAGAACAAAAAATTAGTAATACTATGATGAAAATGGTCTTTTTCATTCGAGCTCGTCACATATGTTATCAAAATTGATACAGATGTTCTTGCTTTTATGCATAGTATTTATCAGATTGATAATCGATTATAGAAAGCGAGCTACTAATTAAACAAAAAAGTCTAACAAAAATGGATATCCACCAAACCAAAAGAATACAAAAAGAAAATTCAGATGTTTTCTTTCAATATTATGTTATTTTTATTACACTCAAATCAATTTTATCAAGCCTATTCTATCGATCGATCTTCAGTATATGCAACGTATCGGCAATCATGCCAGTGACACATCAAATATCATAAAGTTGTCTTCATCTTAAGAATGTAAATTTTCTGTCATCATAAAAAAACATTACAGCGTATTAGTTCAATCAACAATTGATCTTATTAGCAAAAAAAAGCTCATAAGTTTCATTCTATACATTGTATTTGATGTCACATTATTCCTTTTGCGTCTACAGCAAGAAAGGTTTTGATTACTAACGCCACCTATTCCATATTCCTCATATCGGAAGACATAAACATATATCTATCATCCATTCGTATTCGTTATTAGTCAAAAGGTTTGCCCATGAGATGGTCGCTCATTGTTCGTCATCCGATAATTTGTCTTATTTATTGTTGATGATTCTCCTGGTGGTTTATGAAACCAACTGTTTTCCTATGTCAATTAATAAAAAAAATTTTTTTCTTGGTTATTTTCAGAATGCGTAACAAATTACAAGTTTAAAATAAAAAAGATATGAGTAACGATACGGGTAAATCACCCGTTGAACAAACTCAATCATCTTCAATAAATTCCGAAATAAAAATTTTTTATTATATTGATGATCAAGATCCTCCTTATTTAACAAAATTAAATCTAACCGAATTACCACGTTTAAAAGATTTTAAAAATGCTCTTGATCGTAATTGTACAAAATATAAATTTTTCTTTGCAACAAATGATCCATCAATTGGAAAAGTTAAAGAAGAAATAACTAATGATGAACAAATTTTACCATTTGATACACCAGACCGTATTCTTGCTTATCTTGTTTCAACTGAAGGTAGTACAACATCAAGTGGTGGTGGTGGTGGTGGTGGTGGAGGAGGAGGAAATAAACAATCAAAACATCATCATCATCATCAGCAGCATCATGAACGTGATGATACAATGACAACATCAACAACGAGTAGTTCATTTAATATACAACAACCACGATTACAACGTACGAGTCGACGTTATGGATCAGCAAATAGTGCTGATCATCAAAAATATTTTCCTAAACAACAACAACGAGCTATTAATGATGATGTTCCATCATTTCCAAATAGTGATATAGAATCAACAACATTTTTAGATGAAACTGAAGATGATAGGTTTGTTGAATTTTTTTTCTTCATAAAATGAAATTGTTTCTTTTTTATTAGTAGATATTCAACTGTTACAGATTCAACAGCAATGTCATCAAGATATCATGGTTATAATCGACCTCGTAGACGAAAACATCGATTACCATTGGGACTTGATCGAGTAAATTTTCTTTCTCTGTTATTTTGTTTCTTATTTTTTTAAATTTATTTCATTGTATATCTATTCAGACTTCATCATTTAGTAGTCTTAATTCAGATTCAACAATGACATTAAATATAATAACGGTAACACTTAATTTAGGTATGTATATTTATTTAATAATTTTTGTTTTCTATTGAAAAAATTTACAATGAATGATTTTATTTTTCTTTTAGATGCAGTCAATTTTTTAGGTATTAGTATTGTTGGTCAAAGCGATAAAACAGGGGCAAGTGATGGAGGAATTTATGTTGGATCAATAATGAAAGGGTAAAAATAATTTATTAAATCAATAATATACACAAACAGAGACATCAATTTATTTTTTTCATTCAGAGGAGCAGTAGCTCAAGATGGCCGTATTGAACCTGGCGATATGATTCTTCAAGTAAATGATATTAGTTTTGAAGGATTATCTAATGATGATGCCGTTAAAATTCTTCGTGAAGCTGTACAAAAACCGGGGTATGTATATACTGGAATGAGCCGCAAATGACTTTACTGGAGAAAAATTTGAATATCTCCGACATTTTTGAACCAAATGAACTAATTCTTTTTTTTTATCACTGATAGGAAAGTGTTCATCGGTCATATCCATAAGAAAAATATTTACAAGAACTGCTTTAAAATACTACCCTTGATTTCAGTAAAAACTGTAGCTTTAAACAAGTTTACAAAAAGTAGTAGCTATTAATGGCTGAAACTTTTAAAGTACGCTGAGTAATAAGACATGCATGTACGATATAAATTTGAGACTTAACAACAATGGTTTGAAGAATTAATTGAAAAAATAACATATATCGTTTACTTTTTTTAAATTGAAACCAAAGGTAGCACTTCGAAAGCAGTTCTTTTAAATGTTTTTCTTATAGATATAACCTACGAACATCTCTCTATCAGTGGTTAAAAAAAATTCATTTAGTCCACCATGTATATAAATCTATACTTATAAGTTTTCAATTACTTTTTCAATAATCTAGACCTATAAAGTTGGTTGTCGCTAAATGTTGGGATCCAACACCACGTGGTTATTTTACATTACCACGTCATGAACAAGCGCGTCCTGTTGATCCACTATCATGGCTTGCACATACACAAGCCGTACAAAATACATACAATAATCCTCAACATCAATTATTACTTCATCAACAACCAAATTATAGACCATCAATACTTAATTCAACAGGAAATATGAATTCAACTATATCAAGTACAAGTAATACAATGGTTGATAATGAAAGTAAAAAAATTTTTTTTTTAGTATTGTTTATTTTATTGATCATTAAGTTTTCTTTTTCTCTTGGGGAAAAAAGATTGTGGTTTTAATCTTAATTTAACTGTTAATTCGGATATGGATACAATTGTACGAGCTATGGCTGAATCCGATTCTGGTCTTGATATACGTGATCGAATATGGCTTAAAATACCGATTCCAAAATCATTTCTTGGTTAGGAAACAAAAATTTTATTTTTTATTAATTTAATTGATAAATAATATATATATCTAGGATCTGACTTGGTTAATTGGCTGTTTGAACATGTTGATGGATTTGTTAATCGAAATGATGCTAGAAAATATGCTTCATCAATGCTTAAAGCTGGCTATATTCGACATACAGTTCATAAACTGACATTTGCTGAACAGTGTTATTATGTTTTCGGAGATCTTTATTCACAAGGTAGGATTATTACGATAAACAAATTGATATAGAATTCACGTGTAAATAGAAGCAATACATGTATAACTGAAATAAAAAGTATTGAGTGGTTTCTATTAACATAGAGTTCATTAAGAAGAAGAAAAAAATGCTTCATTGCTATACATATGTCAACTCTGATGTTAATGAATACGAAAACTAATGAATTGTGAATGATTGTTTTGCAGAAAATCTTTCTAATTGATTGGAAAAAAAAAACTTTATCGTGATATATTTATCAATTAAGGCTTGTTTTTTTTCACAGAAGAACCCACATTTAGCAAAAAAATTTCTTCTGCAAAAGTTTATATACATATTATTAATGAAAATAATGAGAAAACCTTCCGTTGCATATCATTTATCCAATGAATAAACTAATACTTTTACAATAATGAAATTCTTTCATTACACTGATTATGTCTTACGAGGGAAAACTTTCAGCTGATAAATAGCTTTTGAGTCAAGACTATATGTATTACTTAAGCCTTAATGAAGTATGAATACACTGAAAAGAGTTCGTCCCTTTAGCTTATTGCTGGTAATATACCGCACTTTTACGATGTTTTTTAGTTGATGCTGTGGTTCCTCTCAGAAACATGAGGAAAACTGATTTTCAAATTTCGATTTGAATCTTTGCATAGAGACAGGCCTTAACAAAAATAGTTTATTGTGAAAGTTTTACATCATTTCGTTGTTCCTATCCTAAGATATAGCTATGGTTAAAGCTTGTCTTTTACACTGCTCATATATACCAGCAGGTTTGATGTTTTTATTTCAGACAAGGTGCAAATCAAAAGATCGAAAACAATTACAATACACTAGTCTCATTAGTGTCTGTCTCTATGCAAAGTTTCAAATCGAGATTCGCAAAATAAATTTTCGTAGTGTTCCCGTTATGGCAAGGTTTTCATAGAAAAATCAGAAAGAAGAAATCTTTATTTGAACTTCTGACCATAAATAGGTATATCTTGAAAGTTTCAGTCAAAATAGATAGTTCTTTCTTGATGTATTGAATATTGAAGAAATATTGGCTTTATGACGTTTTTTGGTGGCATATAATTTTTTTTTTTGTTTTTTGAATATTCAATATTTCGAGAAGAAACTATCCATTTTGATTGAAACTTACAAGATATACCTATTTATGGTCAGAAGTTCAGGTGAAAATTCTTTCTTTTTGATTTTGCTATGAATATCTAGCCATGAGTCGAAAATTCAATAGCACGCTCATAAATTCATAAGGAAGACATCTGCAGAAAAATTCTTTTAGACTTTTTCTAATCTCACTGAGTTCTACTTATACTTCGATTGTTGATGAACAGTTTAATATATTCCCTCGTAAGCTAGGCTTAATATATATATATATAAATCGAGTTCATATATTTATTTTTAGGTATATCTCAATTAACACTTGACGAAGAACCTGAAGAATATGAATCTGTTTCGGATCACACAAGTACTGATCATCGTAGTGGAGATTCATTATTAGTTACACCACGACAAAATACTGTAACAACATTTGGTTTTGTCGATAAAAATAATACTCCACTTCAATCACCTTCTCATTCTTTAATTACTGATACACATAACTCAGGTGAGATACATACAAGAAAAAAAGCTCAAATCAATTAATATTTTATTATTTTGCACAATATGTCCCATGCACTATCTGTATTATATCTAGTTATGTTAATGAAAAATTCTCATTGTCGACATTTTTCATGCTTGGATCCGACGATAATATGCAGCAATAATGATGAGAATACTTTAAAAACGTCTTCATCACCTGTTGAAGTTTAATTATATTATAATTATTGTTATTATTATCATTCAATATTAGCCAAATGTCAACGGTGGTGCTGCAAAAAATATTATTTTCTCTATTCATTTTTCCTTCTCTCACTTTGTGTCACAAATATGTTTTTTTTTGCAATAAAAAAAATCTCAATGCTTTTTTTTTTGTAGTCAAATATATTCTCATAATTATTATTTGTTTCAGGTTATGCTGGTGTTAAATCATTTTCAACATCAAAAAATAGTAATGAAACTCGACAATCAGTTGATATACCTAATAAATTACGTTCCAGTAGAGAATCATTTCAACATGCGATGACAAATCCATTACCACAAGAATATTTTGTTGATGTTATGTAATTTATCAGATAAATTTTGTTTGGGTTGTTGTTTTACTGTATACAATTTTCATTGTAGTATTAGAAATATACATTTATTTTGATTTTTGACACTTGTTTTTCACCGAAAATAAAATATTAGCTGTTTTTTTTTTGGTTTGTTTCTATAGATGTTTAGTACAAGAAATTCATTACAACGTCGAACAGGTCGTTTTGGTGTTGGACGTTTTGAATATTTAAAACAATTATTAAATGAATATGAACATTCATTAACAAATAATGAAAATAAACTTCAATTACTTGCAAATTTTGCTAATTTTTCTTATGATCCAATAAATTATAATTATTTACGAGAATTAAATATAATTGATTTATTTCTTGATTGTTTACAAATGCATACAGATAATGATGATTTTGTACATTTTGCATTAGCTGGTTTATGTAATATGAGTACAGATAAAAAAAATAGTCAATTAATTATTGAAAAAAATCCATCAATATTAATTTGTTTAATAAAATGTTTTTTTTCAAATCGATTAGATATTGTTATGAATTCAATGGTAATATTAATGTTTTTATGTGATCATAATGAACAAATTAAAAATGAATTATTACAACGAAATGAAATACGTCAATGTTTAGAGAAATATTCACAATCCAAAGATATTAGATTATCAAACATGGCAAAATTATTTTTACAAGATTATTTTTTAATAAATTAAAGACAATAAAAAGTGGATGATCGTGTTTTTCTACCGGTGAAAATTGATCTGATAAATATAATTTTGTATATTTTGATATTGGTTGAAACAAAAAAGAAAAACAAATTTCATGTAATGAATAGACGTACAAATAAATTGTTTTGTTTTTTTTAATTAATTAATTTATAAATTTTTATTTATTCTACATCTCATTTAATATGCTCTCTTATCTTCAGATATGGATGATATATTTGATGAAACCGGTGATGATCTCACAGTAGCTCGACATGATACTCAATTAATTGAAACAAATCGTTTTAAAGATGGTTTTCGTGAAGGATGGGAATCAAGTGAACAAGATGCATTTGAAAATGGTTTTATTCGTGGTTATTCTCTTATAGCATCACTTGTATATGATTATAATTTTGAAAAAGAACGTTTATATTTACAAAATCCTTCAAATTCATTATTAAAAAGAGAATTTCAACAATTTGATATTGAATTTCAATCAACTATAGCTCAATTAAAAATTCCTGATGAACTTAATGAAGAACAACAAATTGAAACTATAAAACGATTAAGAATGCAATTTGATGAACTTCTTTTAAAAATAAAATTTCAATTAATATCAATTAAATCTGTATAATGTTTTCTATCGTTTTGTTTTCTTGATTTTAGATGTCTACTCATCTTTTCTTTCTCTATTTTTTAATCATTCCAACTCTTGTTTACAGTCAATGTTATTCAACATCATCTCGAACATGGATATGTAATGGTTATTATAGATCAAATAATTTGACTTATCAAACAATTTTAAATAATCAACAATTAGAAAATTTCTTTTTAACTAATTATAAAACAGCAATATTTCGAATAGATAATTATCCATTAACATTACGTTTATTAAATGCAAGTGGAAATCAATTTCAATCAATAATAATAACATCAAAAAATCGTTATAAATCAAAACTTCGTCAATTAATACTTCAATCAAATAATATTGAACAATTTAATATTGATACAATTGTTTTACCGTATTCATTAGAAAAAATTTCTTTAGCAAATAATAAATTAAAAATTATTGATGCACGTCTTTTTTCTCATTTAAAAAATTTAATTGCAATTGATCTGACAAATAATCAATTAAAACGTATTTTACCAGATTTATTATTAAATAGATATATTAAATTAGACAATAATCCACTCGATTGTCAATGTACTTCAGAAACATATAGAATTATGTGTGAAAAAGCAACAAATATTAAACGAACGACAGTAAGTCGGAAGAAAGAAAAAATCTAAACAAGATCAACTTCAGACTATTATCGGAAGTCGATCTCGATAAGAGATGAATGACAGTTCACACATATTTATACCCATGGGTCAGTGTTTTATTCAGTGTGGAATTAAGGAGACGGCGTCCCTCCAAAGATCGAGTTGACCCTCCCCAAGTTTGTGATTCTGATATTAGATACTATGTGTCTGTACTTTCAATAATAAGTGTTCACCCTCCCGAAATTTTGAATTACGTTTCCGGAAGAAAAACATCTGGATAAAACACTGTCAGGAATATTAGAGAATATTTTACTAAAACTCTAGTTTATAGAAGGATATTTAGGGAAACATTCATATTGAGGAATTTTTCGTACATGAATAGATTTCGTCAGTTTTTGGTTATCTTAAAATTTTCAGTTGAAAATCAATGCTTTCTTTCATCTAATAAATCTCCTCAATACTTTTTTTTTTTTTGTTAATAATATGAAATTCATTATTTTCTATTTTATGTTTTTCGTATCAAGCAAAATAATTTATTTAGATTGAAAGTAATAATTGTATGGCACCATATTATCATCCTCCTGCATATGATCCATTAATACCATCATATTTTCGTTTTTCAACATTGATTCTTATCTGTCCAATTAGTGCTCAACCACCACCTGTAATTATCTGGTCAACACCATTTGGTAATCTAACATCAATTAATTCAACTAATATTGATTTATTACCATCAAATAATAATGATGAACCAATTTATGTCACATTAATAGCTTTAGCGGGTCCATTAACAGCTCGTACACTACATACATTACATGCATTTAATGAAAGTCGGTTATCTGTAACACAAGCACGTGCTGCTTTACAACATCGTATATCATGTTCTGGTATAAATATGCTTGGTACATATTCATATGAATTTAATTTTGATATTGTAACTTCTGTACAAAGTCATGCTTTATGGCACATTATTTATACAATGAGTTTTGGATTTTTTATGGCACTTGTTGCTGGTGCATTATGTGTTACATTAAAACGTACATATTATAATTGTGATAATATAACAACTCCACCAATTTATCCAACAATGACACCAAATAGTGCTGCACGTACACCACCAAATTTTGAACTTAATCAATGGTTATCATTAGCAGCAGCTAATATTAGTGGGACACTTGAACAAGTACGTGATAAACTTCGATTAGGTGTTCAACAAGTTAGTGAACATATGGGACAAACAATGGGTCGTGCTACAGAATTATTTACTTATGGTGTACAACATGCCGGTGGAACTATTCGACAAGCTGCTGAAACGTAAGTTACTATCATAGTTTTTAAAAAAAATCAAAAAAGAAATTTTTTTTATTTATTTAAAATTTTAAGTTCTGCTGCATATCTTCATTCATTTCGTGAAACAAGTCAACATCGTTTAAATACTATGCGTGTACAAACATTATCATCATTACGTAATCCAGGTAATTTAATGCGTGCTGGTATGAATATGCTTACAACACAAGTGAATTCTTTACGTGATTATTGTGGCGTTACAACCGGTCATCCACTTCCATCAAATTATGCAATTCAACAACAACAACTTCGTGATTTACGATATTCACCAGGACCAATGTCAAATTTGCGTCATAATCAAGTATCAACTATAATTGAAGAAGATGAATCTATTGTTGAATCAACATCATTAATAACAGTAATGTATCGTACACCTTATGTTGGACATACATCAACAATAGTATCAAGTAATGCATCAGGTATTGGTCAACTTGATACAGCTGATAATTCAGTATTATTAGCACTTAATAATTTTAATCCATTATCAACAAATAATATAATAGATAATGATAATTTAATAGCTCGAGGACAAATGAGTGCAGGTATTGGAACATTTCATGGTCATATACATGATGCTGACGATGATCTTATTAATGAACCAGAACGATTAACTATCTATGGTGCACAACGCCCAGCTTGTTAAAAAAAACCAAAGAAAAGCATTTATTTATGGATCTCTTTTTTTATGCTGTCAGATTTTTCAAAGAAAAATATAAATCTAACGCAAATCTTTTGTTTTATTCTTGCTATTACAGTCACGCTTATGCAGTCACGAACGTCTGACATTGAAACATCTATTGTCTTGAAACATATATATATGTATATATCGCACAGTGATTAAAGCTTTGAGTCGCGTGTTCTTTTGCTTTTAACCTATTTTTAATTTTTGCTTGTATATAATAATATATTTGCTAAATAAAGAAAGACAAAAAAAAAACAATTATTTACATATTTTTTAAATCATCTTTCCGTTTTTTTTTCTTTCATTTTCAAATATTTTAGTATAATGAATGTTATTGATAATGTACGTCGTGCTTTTCGTTCAAAATATTCATTTGATATACAATCGACATGGTTACAACCATGTCTTGCTTGGTTACGTGATCAATTTCAAATAACAGAATTAACTAATAATTATACACTTGAAAAAATCTATACTCAATGGCTTCATACAGATATTGCTCTTATTGCTGATGCATGTTGTTTACCAAATGATTTAGATTTAAATGCAAAAAAAATTCAATTAAGTGGAAAATATGCATTACAAGTAACTAATTTCAAATTTTTTCTTTTATCTATCGAGGAAATTAATTATAACAAATGTATCGAAAGTTTTTTGTTTTAGACAAAATGTTCTTTCAGTTTTCTACTGATTAAAAGAATCAACGGAAAGTATTAAACATTTGGTTAGAATTAGAATTTTGTGCTCTTGTTGAAACTATGTTCAGAATCTTTGTGAAACTCATAGGTTGGGAGTTATGAGCAAATCTTTGAAACACCTGAAAATAAAGTCTAATTGTTTTTTTATTCTTAATTAAATATCCAGGATAGAAATGACATTTATCCTAAATACATCAATAGAACGAGCAAATATTTCTCTTCAAAAAAAAAATATTCTGATCATCTGTTTTCTATTAGATGTTTATCAATCATGAAAAGTAATGGGATATGAACAAACCTTGAGATTTGTGCATGACAA